GTCACATAGAAGGCATTCACAGTCAAGAGGACTTATGGCAGTATCAAAAAGTAAAAGAGACCAGGGACTGAGGAAAGAGAGGCCAGACAGAGGAAAGAGCATTATTTGTGTCCTCAGATGTGCTATCAAACCATCCCAGTGGAAGCCTGAGAAGAACCCCCAAATGAAACCAAGAGAGAAAGAGCCAATTTTAGGCATCTGCCATGTGCAGAGAAGACAAAGGCATTTTATGACTGCATCTGTAAAGCAGTATCTTGCCCACCTCCAATCCCACCCTCTTCATCCTTGGAGAAGAAACTGTGGTTAGCAAAATGGGGACGGAGATGTAGAAGCCTATAGAACAGAAAGAGAAGGATTATATTTGCTTCTCTGACTTTTAAAAATATATTTTAATTGATATCAGAGAGGAAGGAAGAGGCAGAGATAGAAACATCAATGATTAGAGGGAAAACATCAATGATGAGAGAGAATCATTTGATCGGCTGCCTCCTGCATGCCCCCTACTGGGGATGGAGCCTGAACCCCAGGCATGTACCCTGGACTGGCATCAAACTGTAACCTCCTGGTTCATAGGTTGACGTTCAACCACTGAGCCGCACTGGCTGGGTTGCTTCTTTAACTTTAAACTCCTCACTGATGAGAGAGAACAAGGTATAACTTTAAATCAAGTTCTGAGTTTTGATTATTTTATGGGACTGCTGGTTGTCTCCCCAACCTTTTTTCTAAAGATTTTAGCTAGGTACAAGACTGCTTAGAATAAGCCCACATTCCCCAGTCTCCCTTGCAGGTAAACACAGTAATGTGATTGATTAAGTTCTTGCCAATGGGCTGTGAACACAAGTGATGTTAACAACTTCTGGATTGTGCTCTTGAAGGAAATGGGTAGGCCTTCTCCTTCTTGATGACAGGAATGTGATGTGGCGCTGGGCTCTTCTGGACCAAATAAACTAGGACAACAGTCTAGGGATGGTGGAGCAAGAAGACAGAAGGAGACTAACTCCTGCTCACTTTGTGAAACAAAGTTTCTTTTTCCATGTAATAGGCAAAACTCTCAGTGCCATATTACAATGCACATTTATTTCTCACTCGTGGGTTTGGGAGTTGGCTGGGCAGTTCTGTTTGATATGAAACCCTGAATTTGCAGCAGGCTTTCTACAAATGTTTTAACATGATGGTCCCCACTGTATGGGATGTGCAACAGGAGTGAATGGCCCCTTTCTGACCACATCCAGCTTCCAAAATGAGTGGCTCTTAACACCCAAACTGCTCTGCTTCAAGATGTGGGTCAAGTTCAGCTCTGCCCTACATGTGTCATTCTCATCACCAGGTAGGAAGGAGATTAGAAGCTCTCAGGACAGTGGCGGTTCCTTCCCATAGCAACAATTGGATCCAGTTTGCCCACACTAGTGGAAACAGCATTTTGAGTCCCCCTCAGAGACACCAGCACCATAAGATGGTGCTCCCTCCTCATAGGTCTGAGTTTCAGCTCCACAAGGCTGTCCTCTAAATGTCTAAATTATAATAATCCCTACCTCTTCCCGTAGTACCCCAAGCTCTAGGCATAGTAGCTGCCTCCTGCAGTTGCTATCTTCGCAATACATTGAGCTCTCTTCTTGCTTTTTCAGTTAATGATCAATTCTTTATATTAAACTCTTTGTTAAAATAATCGAGGTGGTTTATTTCCTGACAGCACCCTAATTCACTGTAGTAAATCCTATGCCTGTGAGACTCCCCTTAAGAATTTTCTGTTTGACATATTTCATGACAGCCCACTCCCAATATCTTCATTCCCCTGCACTCATTTTTTTTTTTTATCAAAGAATTTACTGTGAACTGTCATCATTGTTTGTTTTCTCATCCATCCCCATCTCAGGCCAATAGCTCCCTGAGGTCAGAGCACATCTGTTCCCTTAGCACCTGGCATATAGGAAACTGAACGACACACGTTTGAATGAATGGACAAATGAATGAGCGAGGAAAAATAAAACAGGAACAGAAGCAGTTAATAGTATGAGATTTGGAAGGTTCACAAAACGCCAAAATGAAAGAGAAAGTTAGATGGGGCTGTGAGAAACAGGAGGGCTGTGGCTGCCAGCTGCGAGCCCAGCTCTGAGCACATATTAAGTTCTCAATAAATAACGCGCATCGACCACAGGATGAAAGTACAGCTGAGACTCTGCAAAGAATACTCATACTCGGTGACAGGGAGGGTAAGAAGGCTGGAGAACTCCCGGGGACATCAAAGTAGTGTTGGCCCTTTGGGCTCTAGAGGGATGACCCAGCCCTAAGGGACGCCTCTCACTTCGCCAACGGGTCGTGCCCAGCCCTTTCCGGAGTTTCATTCTGGTTCCTCCGCCCCCTCCTTCTCCGCTCCGCGCCCTAGAGGAAACAGGTAAGACACGGAGCACTGGGGGTGCTATTGAAGGGGCTTTTTTGGGCATGCGTTCTCCGCCCGCTGCCCCCGCGCACGCGCAATAACCTGCTGTGAGGAGCACTGCCCCTTGGCCGATAAGGGCGAGCGGTCGCTCAGAAGCCCGCCCCGACTACTCTTAACTGACCACCTTTCCCGTGGCCCCCGCCCTCCCGTGACTGGGGGGAAGGCTCGCGAGATCGCCCTCGGCAGTCTCCGACGGCGCCATCTTTGTGCCTGGCGAGCGACGGCGCCCGCTGGGAGACCCGAAGCCGGCGGTTCGCACGCCAAGCTCTTGCTGAGAGCGGATCCCGGAAATACGAGGCGGGCCTCGGTGGGAGGGACGCACTGAGGGAGG